GGGATTACTTTTTGGGGGAAGTAATCAGTAATTAGTTACTGATTACTTTTTTCAAGTAACTTGACCAACACTGGATACAAGTCACAGCAGGACTGGTCTTAATTAGAATAAATAATTTCATCCATTGGTTTTAATTTGTAATAAATGAGGATTTTACTTGTTTTATAACAAAGTTCACACCACAGGGAAATGTAAAGAACAAAGTCTGGATGTCACAGTAACTGTTGCAGGAGGGACAATCATCTAGACAAGTAAACAATGAGTTACAAACATGAAGCAGCAGCTCAGGATGTGTGCTGTGAGGCATGGAAGTGTTAGATGAGACAGTGAAGTCATTTCAGCTGCTTGTCCTGTTTCTTCTAGCTTCGCTGTGCTCAGCGACATCAAATTTCAAAATCGATGGGAGAGGGCCGAGATGAGGAGGAGAGCCTTTCTGTTGTTCTACTACCTTCTGCGTTCCCCCTTCTATGACAAATACTCTGAGTAAGTATCTGTGGTTAAGTGGTGTTTTCAGCGGTTTTCTGTCGTCTTCTGAAAAGTGTTAAAATTAGGATGACATAATTAATTGTACAATCTGCAGAAAATAGAGTACTGTGCAAAAGTCTAGACTAATGGTTATTTATGCTTTTTAAAAGTCTTACGAAAAATGTCTTTAGACAGGAGCTGTTTTGTTGGTTTGTAAACAGAATCATTTAACAAAAAGAAGTCCAAACGTTCATCAAGAAGAACCATTCCTAAAAACGAAGAAAGTTGAGGCTGTGTTGAAAAATAAATTTGGTCATACCAAATATGAACCTTCGAGCTCGTTAGAACGGCAGAATCCAGAGGTTATACCGTTTCAGGAAGGTTTCCTAAATGTAAAGAAACCTCCCAATGGTTTCTGCTGCTCTGGGGGACCGTGGGTGGGTCCTCTGGGCCTGTGTGGGCTATGACCTCCTCTTGGTGCTGGTGGTGTAGGCTGGGACGAGAGGGTGCAGGTTAGATGGAATGGAGGCATTGGGGCAAGACTGGCGTGGGGAGATCCTGGTGTTGGGCTCTGTGCTGCTGTACTGTGTCCGTCCTTGTCCTTGTCCTTGTGGGGTCTGGTCCTCTGTGGTATTTAAGGGTGGAGTTTGGTGCGTGTACCCCTCCTGGCGTCTTCATTGGGGATGGCATGCAATGAAGGGGTGTGTACTGTATCGCTTGTATCAAGGCTTTGTATTGGGCGTTACAGGGCGTTGAGGTGGTGATGGATGGTGGGGGTGTTGTGGGTGGGGGCTGATGGGTCCTGCCGGCCTGGTTTAGTGGGGCTTTGGGCTCGTGAGCTGCAGTTGGGTGACCTAGTTCATTACAAGGCCCGGATGTATAGGGGCCTCTCCCTCCCCTGCACTAAGGATGTATCAGACAAATACAGGTGACAGATGTCCTAAACTGCAGCTGGTGGTTCATATTAGACGATGGTTTGCTTCGTGTTTCATCTACAGGAGCAGGAAGCCTGTCAGTACATTCCTGAAGCCACCCACCTCCCCAAATAAAAGGAGTGGCTGGTGACTTTACAGTATTGTAACTCTTGTTCCTTCACTGGTCTTTTAACAGTGTTACTTTTTACTCCTTCATGTGCAGGGAAAAGATTCTGTTCCTGCTCAGACTTTTGGCTGATCATGTTCCAGGAGTTGGGCTTGTGGCACGTAAGTAGAACCGTGTGCTCATTCTGCATGCACGATGTTGCCTTGCGTTGCTGTAACGGTCGAAAATGTAGACGTCTTAAAGCTGTTTGTAGAACAACTGAAATTGTGACTTTAAAAAATAGCAGCTTTTGAAAATTGAGTTCTACTTCGTAATACGTACTGTAAACATTTGTGCGTGTGAGAGAGAAATGAGACATTAGGGCT